CAGATTTACATGGCAGCTAATCTGGCACGTTCTTCAGGCGTAATTGAAGGTCGTGTTATTTTTAAAGATGTTTGTATATGTTCGTTTGTTATAATTGCCTATAAATAAAAAAAATAAAGTTAATTCACTAATATAAGTTGGTAGTCTAGAAAATAAATATATTTACAGTTCGTTTCTTCTTTATTTCATCTTCACCCTCGTTCTCCGCTTTAGAAGCTTTCTTGAGTGTAAATCCTTTTTTAATTAATGCTAACTTTAAAAAACCAAATCAAGTCAATATTTCTAATAAAATTTGCTGCAAAACAACTGTGAATGGCATAAAAAGTTTTTATTACCCTCTGTGATATTTGGCCTTTCTCTGCGGCCGTCAATGCTTTTGATGTACTCTGCGCTGACTTTGAATTAAAGGAAACAAATTGCATGTCATTACCATCAGAATTCGATTTAGAACTTTCTAATGACTTGTCAGAGTCAATAGCTTCATGAATGGCTTCAAGATGAGCATTATATAATAATGCTTGTAAATCGGCACCAGAAAATCCTTCACATTGTTTTGCATAATAACTCAAATCAACATCATCTTTTAATTCCATTTTCCTTGACAAAGCTTTCAGTATCTTATAAATGGAAATTTATTAATAAGAAATCCAAATTTAAATATAATTTACTCAAACTAACCTACCTCAATTATTTCTTGGAGTTCTGGCATATCACATAGTAATGACTTATCAAGACGACCTGGCCTTAGTAATGCAGGGTCTATAAGATCTGGCCGACTGTTATGAAAATTTTATTTAATGTTAATATGAACAATTTTAAACTTATTTCAAATAAGTAGATTATTACCTTGTTGCCGCGAGAACATAAACTCCATCAAGTCCTTCAGCACCATCCATTTGAGTCAGCATTTGATTTACTACTCTGTCTGTCACTCCAGTGCTATCATGACCTCTATAAATAACAAAATAGAATTGTTATGATAATTACATCATCTTAACAATAAAGTAATTCATAATAATTATTATTTACCTTTTAGGAGCAATAGCATCAAACTCATCAAAGAATAAAACACATGGCTTTGCTGCTTGTGCACGTTCAAATAGATCGCGTACCTATTATTAATTTAAAGAAATTTGATTAACCTGTTAACATATGAATAAATTCCATAACATTTCTTTTGCGATGCTTACAGATTTCTCACTAGCACCGATATATTTGTTTAATAATTCTGGACCTTTAACACTGATAAAATTAAGGCCGCATTCTTTTGCAACAGCTGATGCGAGTAGAGTCTTTCCACAACCAGGATAACCATATAAAAGCAATCTATAAATGAGATGAGATGAGATGTGAAGTATATTTATTTTATCACATAAATGGGTAATAATCGTAAACATTACCCAGATCGCAATCTTAAAGGACAATTTGCAAAAATGGATGCATATTTAGTGGGCCATTCCAAGGTTTCCAACAAAACCTTTCTCGTTTCGACCAAACCTAAATTATAATAAAAAATGAATAAAATATTTATAATTTCGTTATAGATTGGTTGATAAATAAACCTACCTCCGATATCAGTCCAACTAACTTTTGAAGTATGCAGTTTCACGCCCCGTAAAGAAAAAGGGACAAATTCCTTTTGGGCCTTGCGAAAATCCTCTTGAGTGAGCAAAAATTGTGACTCATCATTTCCACTATGCAAATGCCTAGATACCCCTTCATGTATCGTACGTTCTACAAGGGCTTTAAGATCTGCAGCCAAATATCCCTCACATTCACTTGCCACCGATAGCAAGTCGATATTAGACACACTATTTTGAGCAAGCGTAGGACCCGAAGACATTATTGCTTCAATAATCTAATAAAATATTTAATTCTATTAAATAATTAAAATAACCATTAAAATTTAGTAATGATCGAATTATTACCTCATGCCTCTCTGTTTTTGTCGGCGGATTCAATTGAGCAATCTCGCAAAACAAATGACTTGTAGTAAGGTACGCATAAATTGAAGCTTGTTGCTGTGCAGTTGCAAAAATTGTTATCCGATGCCTTTTGCACATTTTTGCAGCGATCTGAAAGAAACATTCGGCCAATTGACGAAATCTGAACGAATCTGTATGCTTTGAGGGATCAACGATTTAACAATTGTATAGATTATTTAATAATGACACAAAATCCATTGAAACACATACTTCAACTTCCGCAGGAATTAACCTGTCAAGATCGTCAAAAAGAATTATGCTAGGAGCATGCCATGCAGCATCATCAAACCACTGCTGTAACTTATCTTTTACAGATGATACGCGCTCTTCCGTTAATTCAGTACACCTTACAACTAAACAATCTACAAAATAGTTGTAATTCATTTTTTAAAATCATCGCATATTAACTTACTGATTAAATTCAAATCATTTAATAACTTACAAGCTAAAGTCTGCAAATCTCGTTCCAAGCTATATACAACTGTTTTAGCTATGCTAGTTTTACCGGACCCATGTCCACCACATAAAAGTAATCCACCCAATGCTGCGACAATAAAACAATTTAAGTGATGCCCATTAAGAGGAAAAATATCAACACGAAATTACCTGGAACGCGTAATGCACTTCGTAGAGGAACTTTTCCAAGACAAGATCGCAAATAACCTTCCAACTTATCCGTGAGATTTGAAACTCCAGCAAGTTTTGGAAGACAATCCTGAACAGGCCTAAAGGTGTCGACGATTAATTACAAAATTTCATCAAATACAAAATATCTTCATAAATAAGTTTTACTCACTGTTTCAAAAGTTTTTGGTCTGGCATTGGGATATTATCTCCAACCTCTGTCTTCATATTTTGTAATTTACTTTTTGTCAAAATTGTAAACATTTCGGGAAAATCAAATTTCCCATGACGACCATCATTTTGATTGCCGGACTTAACACCCAAAAATATTGCAATATTTAAGTTACCATTAATTGAAGACAAAGATAATTTCATTCCATTTGTTAACACAATTTCAGTGTTATCCGGGAGATTCTCGACAAACGCTGAATTATAATCATTAATGATAAGTAAAGTCAGGTCATTATAAATAAATAGGTTTACACTAAATAAATACCTTTAAAGGAATTAATTAAAAGAGTTGAGAAAACTGATTTATCTGTAGCTGGACTAAAAATGGATTTAAATCGATTTACAAATATATTTCAAAGATAAGTTAAAAATATTTCGAACAATTAATATACCTGCTAGTATGAGGTTTGGATGGATTAATTTGAAAGGGACTAGTGTTTCTCAATATAATATTAGATAAAGTAACAGGATTTATCTGTGAGGGTGCTAATCTAAAAAATTTCTAAATTAATTTTTAATCAATCATGATAATAAAAATTATTTAACCCACGGTAATGAAAATTTACCTGATTATGGCAAAAATTTCAGCATCCAAGCAATCTCTAATTGACCCACATAAAACTACGTGCCCCGGAATTACATTCGAATTTTCCACAACTTTGACATATATAGTATTTTGTGAACTGCTTTTATTATCCATTTCAGTTTTATCTTCATTCTCTTTGTTGTGAAATGATTGTTGAGGTTGCACTTTAGAAAGACGCACAACTTTGTTATTTGAAAGTCTAATGTTGACAAAATCCTTAGAATGAACGTACGCCGAGCAAAATTCATTTGGGTATGATGGAAACAGTTCTGTACTAAGATATTCCTTAGGTAACAATCTCAAGCAATATATTGGAGCGTTGAAAATACTATTATTATTTGATATGCCATTCTCATTTGATTTGGATTGAAAATTCTCTGTTGGACGCGCCTTGGGTTTGACAGACACTTCAGTATTTGCACATAACTTTGCAAATTGAGTTTTTGGATCGATTTCCACTATTAATAAAGATTTATCATTTAAGAAATATATATGCATAATTCTATTCTCCTAACATTTATTATCAAAAAATCCAAACCAATTTTGAGCCGTGTGAGGTTTGAATTAATCCATAGCGTAACAATTTGATTAGGATAAACAACACGTAATTGTTGGATGAAATAATTCTCGAGATAATTTGCTCGACGATCCTAAAAATTTTAACAAAATCGTAAATAATAAATGTAAATAATTCAAATAATTCAAATAACGGATAAATGAAAGATACCACTATTTCCCAGTCCTCAATGCTACAAGGTTCGGCATGCACCAAGTTGGCCTCGGGTGAATTTTCACAAATTTTCATAGATACCTTTAATACAAAAATAATACATGAATTCCAAATCAATAAGGAAATTATTAAATATTTAGAATATATTACCTTTTGGCCATCATGTAAGCCGATGGAGCTTCCAAATTGTGGATCAATTTCGATTGTATCAACATGTGTACTATGTTGCTTAGAAGCGTCTCCTGACCAGCCAACATATGATCTTCGCAAGGTTTTAGCTTCCTGCCAAGATAACTCTAAAATCACATTTTGTGGTAACTTGTTCGAACAAATTAGTTTATGAGCAATGAATTAAATAAAACAATAATTAAATTAAACTTATTTGCAAAAGTCAAAAGTACCTGATGTTGGCCATAAAGAAAATTTGTAACAACAAGTGGTAAACTTATGAAACAATTATTAGAAGAAACAAAGGAAACCGAAACCTGTACTTGAGACATTTAAGTTAAAATTTTATAATTTAAGAAAATTGACATCTGAAAGATAGACAAAAAGATATCGACCAATCATTATATATATAGTAAGGACGATCAACTTCATCAAAATGCGCAGAACTTTTCTAGTTGTAAAAAAAATCGAGTCACGGGATATAGTAAATCATATGATCCGAACGTTTTAGTAATCATTTTCGTGACAAAGTGGCGAAATTGATTTAATATCATTCTTTTATTACATATATTCCATTAGAAGATATTTTAATTTTAATACTTTTGATGAAAAGAAGGCTTAATTAAAGTATAGCCTTTTGATAAAAATTTTCTGCAATATAAAGTAAATATATATATTAATTATCTTGAATCGTCTCATCCACATCAATGTCCATCTCATCTAATTTAAAATTATCTTCATTATCTTCTCCATAAAAACTAAATAATTCTACCGAATAAATAGGTATATCACCATCATTTAACCAAGTAATGTTCTTTCTATCATATATCGATGTGTTAGCATCATCCGTTGAAGAATTTTTCTCCGATTTAATATGTCTTTTTTGATGAAATAATGCTAAACAACCTCTCATAGATTCAAATGATTCATATATTGATAATTCATATGTTATTAACTTTGATAACCCATCAAGAGATGGATGCAGTCCTTCGGAGAGAATCAAGGTAGAAAAATGTACATCAAAAATTAAAGACATAAAATCGAGAAGCTATTAAAATCAAATTATCAAAAATTAGTAAAATATTTTTTTTTTTTTTTTTTTTTTTGTGCAAAATAGGTCTTATACAAGTTCAACTTACAATACGAAAATCTGGAATGTGCTTGACTTTTTTCAATAAAGCGTCTTTCGCTTTACCAGGTGACATTAATTCGGGCATAACATCAGTATCACCATGTATTTTAATCCATTTACGAAAAATTTGAATTATAAACAATAATTCATCCTCATTCAAATCTTTTAAAGCTTTCATCATCTTATTGTCATTTCTTGGAGCATGGATAATTAATGAGAAAAATTCTTTTATTAAAGGTTTTTTCTTTTCTGATTTTGAGAATTGTGAATTATGTGAAATCAAGTATTTCAATAGATATACAAGATCTTTTTCAGGTATATCAGGAACGTGAGTTAAAGCAAGTTTCAACAACCCCTAGAAGGTTAAAGAAGTTTTATCAATAAATAAAACCAAGATAATAGAAAAGAACACCTAAATAAATTTCAGGATTTACCAATGAATTTCTTTCAATGAAAGCTTTCACGATACCATCTTTCACATAACTGTTAGATATGACATTTTTCCCAATAAGGAATTGGAATAGAGTGGATGACCAAAATTTCATGTTAGGTGTCCCATCCGAATTTTGTGATATGCAATAAGAAACTATTCTTTTGATAAAATCGCTCGTAAATAGAGGAATTCGTGTATTCGCCTAAATTTTACAGGGTAGTATAAATATAATTAAATATCTTTTAAAGTTTCTAGTTTGAATTGAAAGAAAAGATTTCAATAATCGATATACCATGATGAGTTCGTTTGACTTCATTTCAAAATATTCTGATTGTAGTGCTTCGATATCGATAATTGGTTCTTCTTCAATTTCTTTTTGCCATGAAGCTAGATTAAATATATCTTTATCATAACTATTTGCATCATCTGAATTAACCCGTTGACCTTTTTTAGGTTTGGCACTTTTATTGCTACTATTACGAGATTTTTTAGAATTAATTTTTAGGTAATCGAAATATTTTTTAGGTTCAATGGAATGAATTCTTAATCTAGATTGTAAATATTCTGATTCGCTTTGAGCCGCGAAATTCCTAATTTTTTTTTCCATTTCTTGTACTGTGGGAGTTGACGAGGGATCCAGAATATCAACGAGTAAATCAGATTCGTTTTTACGATCTTCCTCTTTAGCATTTCCGTTAACAAGTTCGGGTTTAATACCATTTACCTAAAGTACATTTTTTTAGACACATTACTGTAAAGTATCCAATAAACTTTTAAATAAAATATACGTCAACATTATATCAACCTGTTTTTCAATTCCATTTGTGTTACGCACGTCTTTAATTCCATTCTCTCCTAATTCTGAGTGCTCGTCTCTCTCATTTAAGCGATTTATTGCGTCTAACAACGACATTGATACAAATAATTCTATAAAACATAATAAACAGCAAGAATTAATTTCTGTTAAGGCAATAAAAGTGTTATTAAGTTATTACCTTGAAAAATATAAGATCAAACCAATTTTTTTTTATTTTTTTTATTGTTTAAATTTATTTTTTTTCCTTTTTTTTTTTTGCTGCAGATCTAACAATTTTATGTCAATCTATGGGTGGAACTTCCATGGAATAACTTTTTTGATCACGTGGAAATAACGATTATAAACCTGCTTGACACATGACCTCAGAAACAAAATTATCTTCAGATTTCTTAATTCCCTCTCCACATTCCCATCTTCTAAAATCAATTATTTCAACTGTGATTTCAAATTCCTTCTCGGCTTTTTCTATAACATCCCTAACACTACCACCTCCAATCAAAAAATCTTGACATAACAAAACATTTTCTTTTAAGTAATCATCCTTGTTAATACCATCTGGAATCACTTTCACATGATTTTCACTAATATATTGAGGATTAAATCCAACAATTTGTCTAGATAAATTTCTTAATAATTTATTTATTTGCTCTGAAGGATACGTCAAGGTGGAGTCTTGTTTTGTGGCTTTACTCGATAATTTCATAACAACTAATCCTCCAATTTTGCCTGTAAATAAATCACCACCATGAACATATCCACTTGTCAATATAATATCTTTGTCGTTTATTACATTTGAAGTTTCATTCATATCGGGAAGTACAACGGCATCAGCTCTACGCAAACTAATGTTTTCACCTAATTTACCAATAAGTTCCATCATAGATTCCTGAACAGTAGCCAAAGGAAGATTGGTAGAGGAAGATGAAGTTAATGATGGATGAGGATACAAAGGTGACGACTGAAGAAGTGGGAGTGGTATTGGCCGAATAAATGAGGCATAGTTGGAAGAAAATGAAGAAATAGATTCAGCATCTGAAGATAGTAAAAGAGATGTGGATGCGACTTGAGTTACGAATTGTTGGAAAAGGGTGTTGCGTGAAACGAAGTCAGTTTCGCAATTAACCTATCAAATCAATGAGTGTAATTCGTAAGTAATGAATAAATGGTGGATTAATAAATATACAACAAACTGATGAAATTCATATACCTCAACGATTGCACCTCTTGTATTTCCCATGCCTGTTTCTTTAGCTCCAGTCCTTCCTTCGAACCCCTTTGTCAATGCAACTCCAACCAATCCTTCTTTAGCTATCCTTCCTTTAAGTTTTTCTGCCTTGGCACTTCCACTGGTTTTAGAGTCTTCTAAAATCCATGATAATGCTGTACCATAATCATTATTATGCTTTATTAACGCTTCTTTTGCTTTTGTAATACTGACTTGAGTTTCTTGTCGTAATTGCTGTAAAAGTTTTAAATTAGGTTTGATGGTTGAATAATATGCATTTGTGGGAAAATGCAATCTGAACAAAGGTAAATATATTGAAGTGAATTTTTGAGTAGTCCGAAACATATTCAATTAATAAAAAAAGTGTCAAAAAAAAAGAGGATTTTTTTCCGAGATAATCCATTTTAATAGGTGTAACATACTATTTTAGAAAGTATACAAATTGCACTGTTAGATCCACATCGCTGTGTAACTTGTTTGATTATCTGTTATCGTTATCGGGGATCAACATTGATAAGAAAAGTTTATTAACGCTTCGAAATTCGTTATAAATTTTTTTTTTTTAATTCGAGATTTCTAAGAATTTGAAAAATGAACATAAACTTGCGGTTATTTTTCACGAGGAAAAAAACCTTTTGGTGTAAATCCATACATTTATTTCGTTCAGCTATAAACACTTCGAATATAATTTACAAACCTTTTGACTTTCGAACTTTATATAACTCTTCTAATAAAACGTCTTCCAATTTGACGTCTCGTCAACCAATTCGTATCAAACAAACCATTGGTAGACTTTGGCGTTCTCAATTAACCGTAATTAGATTTCCTTCGGATGAAAAAAAGGAGATAACTGATGAATCAAAATTGACATGTGAACAAATATCGCTACATTCTAATAAAAAAGTTTCAATTAATGATTTAGTTTTAGAAGTAAAAAGACAGATCACCAGTGCATTTATGCCAAAAGGGTATCCGGATTCTGTTACTAAAGATTATTGGGAATTTGCAAAGTGGCAATTTCTTCATAATATAGCGGGATCAGTTACTGGAGGTAAGTTGTTAAGTTGAATATTAAACCGTGTAACAAAGATCACAAACCTTGGCTTTATATAGTTTTGTCGACACAGTCTTTGCTATATGCTATGGGACTCGGATCAACGTCAATCCCTGTATGTCAAAACTACATATTATATGCGGGCTATGTTGGAGGATGGAGGGCTATAAAATTCTAATATGTAAATTTCATCCGCAAAGCTCGCTGCAGCATTGAATTGGATCATTAAAGATGGGCTAGGTCAATTAGGCGGTGTGATTTATGCTGCATCCATTAACGACCGTTTTGATTCTGAACCAAAACGTCATCGCTTTCAAGCAACTGTCGCAATGCAATCTGCTTCGTTCTTAGAATTGTTGGCTCCATTATGGCCAGGCATGTTTCTGCTGATTGCTTCCATTTCAAACATAGGTATATCTCTCGCGATGTATAAAAAGAAAAATATTGCCCTTTTTTTCTTTTTTATAAATTCATTCCTTGTATCTAGGTAAAAATATTGCATGGTTAGCTGGTTCTGCAACAAGGTATGAAAATAAAAATGAAAAACAAAACTATTAATATGATTGACTTTAATATAAGATTATTATGATGGTTTGACCTTTATCCTATTTAGAGCACAGATGCATAAAACATTCGCGCTAAGAGATAAGTAAGTTACCAACCGTGATTTTGTTGACCCAAAACACAATTAAATTATATTCTTTAATCGTTTTAGCTTAGGAGATATCACCGGAAAGACAGGATCACAAAGCACAGCAGCAGGTCTAGTAGGCATGTAAGCTTCATGTTTGTTTGGCATCGATTTATACAGAGTCACATTTGATCCTTATAAATTATTAAACAGGAACGGCCCTAGGAGTTGCTATAAGTGCCACAATTACTAAATTTCAACCGGATATTGCTACTATAACATCTTCCACAATCGCCGCTGTTCAACCGATTATTCCAATTTTTCTTGCATTTATCCCGTTTTCGATTTTTAACATCTATGCTAATTATAAATCTAGTCTTTATGTGACAACCAGGACCCTAAATATACCACGTGCAGAAATGATTTTATATCGCTTATTAAATCAACTTGGTGGAGAAACAAGGACATTGTCGAGAATCAAGTGTGATTTAAGAGATCTCGTTCCATCACCAAAAGAAATATCAGCAGAGGAGATATTTGTCAAACGATATTATTCGCCATATGAAATACCATTGGTAATAGAACCGGCTTTACATCATTATACATCTAAAAAATATGCACGGGATTTACATGCTGCGTTAAAACAAGAAGGGTTTCTTCATTCTGAGGAATACTTCATTTTACATGTACCTTATCATCATTTGTTTGGGGGCTTAAGAAAAAAGCGACAACTTGTACAACAAAATCATCATCATCATATCCACTTCCCTGGTAACAGACAACATCTAACATTATGGTTTTCGCAAAAAGCAAATACTATGGACTTAATCAAGGGATTCTATCATGCATGTACAATTAGATATGCTCTGGAGTATTTTGATTCTGCCACCTCTGAAGATAGGAATCACGTGCTAAATATCATTCAAGATACTCATGCTTTAGTGGAGGATTCCTTTACAGATCTTATAAACACGCTTGAAAGCAAAGAATGGGAAATTGAACATCTTTTCTTCACAGAAAAAGATGATCATAGATTATTTGTCGAGAAATAGTTTCTTTCTGTTAAATTTTGTAATTATTTATTATTTATTCAATTTAGAAAATAGTCTTTTTTTAATACATATGATACAAAATATTTATAACTTATATTAAATTTATGTCGCACACCGATTATATCTTTATAATTTGATACCGCACAGTTGTTTTGATCGTTATGATTTTCAAGAATTCTACTCTGCATCCAAGGTTATCAAAACGCATTCTGAATCAGATTTATGATACTAGAATGATTCCTCTCTAATATTCATAGATCAAGTTCATTTTGTACATTTTGTTCCGCATCTCGTCATTACATTGCAATTGTGGAGGGAACAGATGTAGATCTGTCTTGGGTTGTTTTAATCCAAACTGTAGGAATAGTGAGAAGAATTTTTGCAAGCTAAACATGGATATGAAACATGAATATAATTATAAATTGATTATTTTATTTGTTAATCCATATTGCAGTAAATTTCGCAGCCTCTTATGCAAATTTCATCTTGGAACCAAAATTCTTATAAATCATATCAATCTAATTAGTAACAAATATAAAATGTATAAAATCAAAACGCGATTTCTTCATCAACTTCGATATCGTTCCATAGTTTTTAACTTCTCGGAAATTAACTTGATTATTCGTCAAAAACATGCAATTATTAACTTCAAAAGAACCACTCGGAATTATGCTGCCTTGCTACCTCACTAAACGAGTATTCTATCACTAAAATCCTGTTGTACTTATCATCAGAACTTCCTTTATGGTGTTTGAAATTCGCACAAATTTTTTGCACATCCCCGCACATCCCGCATACATCCGCACACTTGCGCACACTAGCGCACTTTCTTGCTTATTTTGCTCTCTCATTCGCACATTCCGCACACTTGCGCATACTAGCGCACTTCCTTGCTTATTTTGCGCCCACATCCGCATATTCCGCACGTCTGCGCACATTCCCTATATTATATATATGCGCTGAATATTTGACTTAAATTTTCAAATTTTTTATAATGTTTCGCTTTTATAATGTAGAAATTTTACTTTATTAATTTCGTTAACGTAAGCTTTTTACCAATTGGATATGATTAACATGTGATTAATAAGGTTTGTAAATAAAATTTATTGTGCATGGGATTTTAAAGTACATTTTTGTGATATTTTGCAATTTACACATTAAATTTTTTTGTGCTTGCTAAACACTAATGGAAAACTATTTTTCGCCCAAAATATCAAAGGAAAACAAACACAAGACCAAGTTAGTGATGTAGCAGGTAAAAGGAAAAAAATTCAAGTTAATTAATCACAGAAAAAAAGCCAAAAACAGCAGCTACTTCAAATTCGAAATGGCTATTAATGTATAAGTGGCTGGAATATAGAGTCGTTGATGATACTATCCTCATGTTTTTATGCTTGATATAAGAGTGTAAAATTTACTAACCAAATGGCCAAAGGAACTGCAACTTACAAAAATATTCACTTGATCATCATTTAAAATTAAAGGATCATTTAATGGCTGAGAAAAAGCAAAAAGAGAGTCAAAGTGATCAGAATAATATTATAACTGGGTTTGCAAACAATATAACAAAGAAAAAGGTATTATTATATTCCAAATGCAGTGTATTTATTTCGCTGCAAAAAATCACATATCATTAGATATTTATTCTAAATTATATGATTTGATAACACTATAATGTCAAGATATTATTACTTCTTAAGTACTTGCTCCTCCAAAACAGCTTTTATTTAATGCTAGTTTAAGTTCAGTCTACTCAAGTTATAGCACATATCAAAATTATAACTTAGAAAAGAAGATGGAAAGATTTGTAATCAGTATAATCAAGGAAGAGTTTTTTAAAAAATCAATAATTTTCCATTTTGGAGTATTATGATTGATGAAAGGACTTCTATTATTGATGAAAAGCATTTAGCTATAATTTCTAAACATATCTTATATAATCTTCTTGTATTAAGATATATCAGGCTAATTGAACTTGAGAATTATATAGCAAATAATACTATACTTCAAATTTTAAAATTTATTTAAAAATAAAGAATTTATATTAGATAATTTAATTCATTTTGATAATGATAATACATTTATAATAATTAATAAGTTATCTAAATTTTTTTATTTATTAATTAAGTAATTATTTATTAAATGATAATTTATTAAAATATTAGGTCATAAAAATAGTGTAGTAATAAAATTAAAAGAATTAAATCCATTTTTCACTTTAATATATTATATATGTATCTCATAGACTTCATCTAGCTAAAAAAGATGTGACAAATAAAATTTAATATTTCAAAATATGAAGCTATATACAAGAAATTATATTTGAACTTTAGTAAATTATATAAGAGAATGATAAATTTAAAAATGATTTAAGAAATAAATAATAATCTATAGTTAGCAATAGAACTTTAAATAGATTAAATTAATCAAGTTATCTAAATTGAAAGGACCAGATCAGGTCAATAAAAATCTGACTTAGTTTAAATTTTCATTTGATCTAACCTGATCTAATCAATAAAATCATCATTTAAGAATAATAATACTATCATTCAAAAATGATAATTGGTTGACCTGAATTTTGTCAGGTCAGATCAGGTTAAGTTGACCTATTAACTTAGCTTAATATTAACTTAAAGATTTTCTAACTTGACTTAGATTTTCAGATTAAGTTAGGTCAGATAAATAGGTCAATTTAAACTAGTTAGCAGTATTAAATATTATTAATATATATTAATTATTTTTATTAAATATAGTTAAAATTTACATCTAATTTTAAATTTAATAATTGATGTTTTAAACTTTAACAGTCTTAATACTAATAATCAAAGTAAAAGAGATTAAGCTAAAAAAATTTTAGAATTAATAAATAGTAAATTAAAAATTTCAATTATGTATATAATTGATTTAATGTATATTTTTTTTATTTTATGTAAGATTTTTAATATTAATTTCTTATCAAAAGTTAAATCTTCATTAGATATTTTTATAGTAGTAATAAAAACTCAATTTATTAATAAATGATAATTAACTGCATATATATAAAATAAATCTATAATAATGTTTACAAAAAAATCTGATTTATAAAAATCATATATTGAATAATTTTGCTTATTTTGCAAAGATACTAGTTAAAAATTAAAAGCTTATTTTTTATAAAATGATTTATATTAATATATGAGAATTTTAAATCTAAGAGAATTACTATTATAGAAAAATATATTATTTTTATATAAAATAGAAGAAATCAAACTTTTATGTAAATACTTTAGAAATCAAAATATAAATTTGATGGTATTATAGTTTAGTTATTAATCAATAATTTAGAATATCAAAAGAAATAAAAAATAATTAAATATATTATGAAATTAATTAGAAAATATAATATGATTAAAGAGTAGCATCATATTTATAATATTCATCTTTAATTTAAAAATACATTTCCTAATATTAATATTTTAATTAGTATAGTTTTATTAGTATTAATTTCAAATGCAAGTATAAAAAGAATTTTTTAAACACAAATTAACAAAAACTAGATTATATAATATGATAAATATAAAAATTCTAGATATGCATTTAATGGCATTTTTTAATACACCTGATAATATTTCAGATTTTAACTAGAATAAAATATTCAATCAATAAAAGAATGAATATTTGAGTAGAATTAACATTAAATTTTTATTTATAATATATTAATAGTATTTTATTAATTATTTTATAATATAATTATAATATATTATAATTTTAAAATTTTAAAATTTTAAGCATTTTTTTATAAAATTATAAATGTTATTTTACAATTTATCTATTACTAAAAAATGGAGTATGATAAAAAAATAACTCTACATATTATTTAAAAATTATATACATAATTTAAAATTTGAATTTATAATACTAATTATAAAAAGTTATAAAAAATTAAAAAAAGTTGTAAAAGGTTTTGTATAGTGTTTTTTTTTTTAGTAATATTTAATAATAAATGATATTTTCTTTTATAATTAATTCTCTCTAAATACATTCTCTTTATCTAAATGTATATATTAAATATTTTCTTTCTAAATACTTCCTCTTAAGTATATATATATTATATAAAATATTTTCTCTTTAATACATATTTTTTTTAAATGTATATTTTTAAAATTTTTACTATATTTTTAAGAGAACTATATAAGTTTAAATCTTATAATTCAATTTATCACATAATTTGTTTTTTTTTTGATTTTATTAGTATTAAACTCTATATAAATATTTCATTCTTTTTATATTAATAAAGTAAATAATACAATAATACAAATTATAAATTTATTATTTTTAATACTAAAATATTAAATATTTATATTCATATAAATTAGAGTTTTATAAATATATATATACTAATATTACATCTTATATATTATTTGAAAATAAATTTATGTAGTTAGTTTACAATTTATATGAAATTATATATAATAAAATTAATTGATTTTAGTACTAATTAAAAGCTCTGCTTTTTGTTTATATATTCATTTATTATTATTATACAACTAAAATAAAAATAATTTAAAATCAGAATTTATATGTATTATGATCTTTAATATAAATTTATAATTAACTAAAAAACTGATCATAAAATTTAACTTATTAATAATATAATAAGTATAAATATTGAATTTAGTATTATTGAACAAGCACAAATAATTGGATTACATAAAATTAGACATAAAAATGCTGATATTTGTAAAATTATGAATCAATTAGATTTTACAGTTAGGATAATAATTAAATGATATAAAAGTTTAAATAACTTGACAAGCAAAGAAAAAAGTGATCAGCCTCTATTACTTAATAATTATAATCATAAAATTTTAAAAAAATAATAAAGTTTCAGCTAATATAATACAAAAAAATTTATAGCAAAATTTAGCTAAAGTATTTGTATTAAAACAATTTGAAAAAATTGTATTAAATTGAATACAATTCCTATTGACACTTTTGAATAAAAATTAATATCAAAAATGACTAGAATAATACTTAAAAAGATAAAATTGAATAGTATAATATTAACATGCAATTCTTGTGAATTGCGATAGTTAAATGGGTATTCGAATAGTAATTTTTTTAAGTTTACACAATGATCCAATTCAGTTTAACTCAAGGTTTATAATTTACATGATGGTGTATTCTCAATAAGATTAAAAGCAATATAGCTCAATTAGTTCAGAGATATAACAATATGTTTATTTATGATAAATAATAAAAAAATAAGAAATAAGAAAATAAGAAAAAATAAGAAAATTAAAAGAGTAAAGTACTAAATGCGAAGGTTAGGCCAAGCACCTCTAAAAAAATTACTAGATATTTATCTAAAAGCAAAACTAAACAAAAAACTAAAAGTGAACTAAAAGTGAACTGAAGTTTACATGATTTTATCATTCTCTATTTATATAAAATTAATTATATAGATGAATATAACAAATAAATTAAATATATCTAATATGTTCAGTATATCCGTTATGTCAGATATATTAAATATATCTAATATATTTGACATTTAGATCTGTAACATATTGTGTCACATTCGTCAATCCAATCTGATTATAATAATAATAGAGAAACATTATATAAAGTAATAAATCAAAGTTTACTTTTTTATAATAATGATCTTTTCAAGTTTAATATAAACCAGGTATTTGTTTTGATATTAAAAATCTGAATCTATCTGTTAAATATGATAGTGATAAAGTTATAGTTTAAAGGATTAGATCCTTTGGTAAAAATAATCAATTGTTATAATTGTATAGAAATTTTAGATGATAATTTATTACTATTTATTAGTTTAAAATTTTGTAATTGATCTTACAAATTTTAATATGATAATATATCTATTTATATAACTAATAATATTAAATCATAGATTGCTAAAAAAAATTAAAATGTTAATTAATTAGCCTATTTAATCTTCAAATTTGAATTTTATTAAATATCTTTTGAAATTATCTTAAATATTTATTATGTAACTATTTAGATCTTTCTAAAAATCTTAAGGATTTAAAAATGCAACTTAAAAAAAATAAAAAAATTAAAAATTTTATTTGTTATCTATTATATATTATATAGATAATTTCACCTAAAGAGTAAATTAATAAAAGTTATATATAAAGATAGTACTGCAACTAGTTGCAATTAGTAACAAATAAGTATTACAAGATTGTAATTAGTTGCAACACCATCTTTAGTTATATAATATATATAATTTTAAAATTTAAAAAATAAAAATATTTATACTTTAAATAAAAATAACTTCTTGATTTTTAAAATCAGTATTATTTATATTTAATAAATTTGCTAATAAATTAATAAACCTAATAATTGCTAAATTATTATTATTTATATTATTTAAATCTATAATTTTATAATTTTAAAGAATAAATTAATTTTAAGTTTATTATTATTTTTAAATAAATCATTTTTATTTATTATAAAAATTTAAATTTGATTAAAAAATTTTGCTATAAATCACTGGTGGTGATTGTTACTGATGTCATATAACTTTAATTATCATTAGATTTTACTATGTATTTTTTGGACTTAGAATTTTTTACTATAAAAAACCTTATTTATCACTTTTATTCATTACATAGGTATTTTTTTGTGATTTTTAGAAAAATTATCCAAAACAATTTTTTGTAAGATGGCTATTATTAAAAAAAAAGAAATAATCAATATTCCTATCTATAATTTCTATAATTCTGGCCTGAATTACAAATATTATGTAACACTGGTAATGATTACTACCAGTGATCAATAGTAAGCCTTTTTTATAAAATATAAATATAAATTAATATATATTTTTATATATTAGATAAGTACTATAAAGGAATTAAATTAATATTTAAAAAATAATTTATTTATTATTAAAATTTAGTTATAAATATTTTATATTTAATAAAAAAAAATTATTTTATATAATTAGAGTTTTTAATAAGTTAATTAAGTTGAATTATAAATTAAAACTTTAATTTTTTATTAAATTAGACTATATTTAACAAAAATTTACAATTATATAAATCAAAATATGATTTTATACAAGTTATTTTTCAGAATTTTATATAATAAAATAATGCATTATAATTAAGATTACTAGATAAAACTTAAAGGTTTTGCAGATTATATAAATAGTAAAAATAAAAATTTAACAAATTATATTAAATTTTATTAAAGAATTTATGAAATTTAAAATAAAAAGATAAAACTATATCAAAATTTATAAATATGACAAAATTATATTAAAACTTTAATAAAAATTAGTAAAAATAAAAAATTTAGATATTTCATTAGTTAAAAATTATAATATTAATAAATTAGCTCTAAGATTTAAATTTATTAAAATTATTTTAAATATTACTTGTATAATTATTTTGATTTTATAAAAAATAAAAACAATTATTTAATTATTTTATAAAATAAAAATAATATATTACTAATAATAATTTATTAATTTAATACTATTAATATTTTATTAAAAAAATAAAATAATCTATTTTATTATATTATAAATCAACTATATAATATAATATTATATATATAAAATGTATTAAATGTTAAAATTAGTATAAAAATTTTTAATTAATTATAATCAAAGCTTATTATAATAAAATTTATTATAATAAATTTAGCTTATAATAATTTTTATTTTTCTAATTTATTTTAAAATATATCTTATAATATAATAAATAAACTTACTAATATTTTTGATATTATATATAATATATTTTTTAAAAATATTACTATAATATATATTAAGTTTATACTTATTATAATAATATCAAAATATTATTAAATGTATATTTGCAAATAAATTAATGTTAACTTTATGTTTTTTGTTATTTTTTTTTTAAAATTCTATTTAAGATTACTTATAAAAATCAATTTTTGATTTAATAAAAAGTTTAAATCTTTAATTTTACTAATTTTTACTAAAATTATATATTTTTATAAGTTTAATATGTGATATATTACTTGAATTAAGTTATGATTATTATAATCTGCATAATAGAGATATAATCTGATTACCATTTTATAATCTGACTAATACAAGTATAATCTGATTATCACTTTATAATCCAATTATTATTTTAAAATCTAATATTTATTACTTAATTATTCTGATATAACTTATTTTTATAATCTACTTATATTTTTATTATATTAATATAATTAATATTAGTTATATTTTTAGTACTCTAGTTTTTTCTTAGATCATTTTTGCTATTTATTTTTATATTTTAGAATGATATAATTACAGTTACCAGTGAAAATAATAGTATTACAAGTTCTGCTTATTTTTTAAGTCATAGCATATTCATTTTTCACTTTAGAATTTTTCAGTATTTCTAGAGTGTTCTTTATAAATAACATTTAATAAATAAACAAAAAAAAGTTGTAGAAAATAATTAATTTCTTTATGTTTTTCTATTCAAAATGGTATTAACCATCCTTGAAAAAAACTGAAATGCTGTTAACTTTTTTTGACAGCAAAAAATCTGAAATGTAAGAGAAATTTCATAAAGAATAGGTGTTCCCTTATGTTCCTGTTATCATTATATTAGTTCATTAAAGAAAATTAGTAAGATTACTATAGGTTATCAGTCTGGACAACTTTGAAAATTAACTTTTAAAAATGCCGCTAAACTGGAATGTCTCTTTTCTGATGCAGGTAATCATATTTCTTCAAAAAGAACACGATTGTCTCCAGATTTAGTAAATCGTATGTTATTTTTAAACGTAATAGTGCTTATTTTAATATATTTCCTCCTTTAGAATCTAATTAGTTTAATATAATAATGGAATTCTTAGCATTATGTATATGAACATTTATATAGTTTAATAAAATGGTTTTATAGCCTTAAATATAAATCTTCTAATAATTATATATTTTTTAAAATACTTAAATGTAGGACTTCGATAATCTCGCAAAAAAAGTTTTATAGTCCTTAATGGCGAAGTATTTTCCAAAATTGAATTTCTTGTAGATTTCTATAATTACGAATTTAATTTTTTGCTACTTTATTTAAAAAATATATAAATATAATGCAGTATATTAAAAAAATTATCAGTTAATTATAATAAAAATAAAAGGAACTGGGTTTATTATATAATAATGAAACGAAGGAACCGAATTTATTATATCCGGATAAAATGTAAATTCGAATCGGAAGAAACCGGATTTAAATTATAAAAGAAGATAACGTAGATCACTTTCAGAAAATTCTATTGAAATGTTAAATTTTTTATATAATAACATTGCATTTTTGGCATTTTTGGTTATTTTTAAAATGCACATTTTTTATTTCTGACACTGACAAAAAAAAGATCATCACGTGAAATTTTTTTTTTTTAATTTTGTACCCGTTTTGTTTTTTTTTTTGATCTAAAAAAAAAAAAATTTTTTTTCCAGATCAAAAGCAAAAAAATGGTTATGAAAAAAAACATATCAAACATTATGGGTTACAACACTGGAAAAGCTTCACTTATACATTTTCTTTTGGTACTGGTACTACTTCTGACTTTAGCATTGCTTATATCTCCAGTTTTTTGGTCTCTTATTGCTCTTGTTACAATAATCCACGTAGTCGCTTTTGCCCTACAACTTATAGTTAGGATTTGTACAACTTCTATTGAAATCCTACAATTTGCCGTAAAGAATTTCTTAAAGGCCATTTCTGTCTGCGGAAGACGCATTCTCAAATCGAACACAGTCTGTATCAACACTTATGTCTCCAATAGCTTTCGTAAAGTTGTGAGAAGTATGAGTAGAGTACGAATATATTTCGTTCTCACATTCGGTGTGGGTTTTGGTGCATACAAACCTCACAACTTAGTTGAAGAACGGTGAGTATTTTATTTAAAATTTTCCTTTCCAAAGTTTCAATAAAGTGTCATGAGGTACAAATTTAATACGAATTATCTACATTATATTAATCAAGTATATAAATATGAAATATGATAAATATACAGGCCAAAATTCCGTCTTCGATTATATATTCCCGATGAACCTGAAATCATACCAAGGCAAGAGAGATCCAGGATGAAATTGAGTAAGTGAAAATGAATGCTTACAAGAAATATTCTGTTTCGAGGAGGAGGGGGGGAGGTTTGCAATATATTTACTAATAACGTTATCTTATTAATAAGAGGTTAAAACTCTGCCGAAATCCATTAGATATCGACCACACATTCCATCAATCCTTGGACCTAATTACATCGAAGGATGGAAAGAGCTAATCGATTTTTATCTTTCCAAGAAATACGCCACTGGAATATCAGATGGGCCAGAGTTAACAGCTGCAGTAATTTTTCAAAAAAAGCTTTCTTCGGTGATCTACGACTTGTTTTACGAAATGTCCTTATTAATTATCTGATGATAAAAATTTATATGGTTTTAGAAAGATATCATTGAGCCGTTCGCAAAGTACCGAGTTGGCAAGAAAACACGTGGCTTGAAGACAAACCAATTTGACTCCCGAGCTAACAACCACCATGCAAAAAAACTTGACCCGTGAGTGATTTATTTAATTGAGCATTGAAAATCGATAAGAAATCATTTCACGATTTGTATTCTTTAGGATCGAGTATCCTGAAGTAAACAATTTACTTGATAAACCAAGAAATAAACTAGTTCAACAAGAGAGAACCGAATTCCTGGATCTAAGCCCACAAGAAGCTTTAAATGCCGCTCGTGCTCAGCTTGAGCATCGATTGAGAAGTCACAGGAAGCGACGACGTGATCAAATGCAACGAGATTGCTCTACTTGAGATAATCGCGCGATAGCAATGAATAAAATAAAGGAATTTGGTGTGGGGGTTTGAACAAGTGCATTAATTTTTTTTCTCGAGTGATTGAATTTAAAAGTAAATTGATTGAGCGTAACCTTATAATCAATAACATAAATTAGAATTCATATAGAAATAGAATTTTTTAAATTCCCTTAATTCTTAATATCGTTATTGTTTCATGGGATACTATTATTAATTCACCATGATTCTTTTAAAAGTAGTTATTTAATTATTGACCCTAATCCTTTAATTATTTAATTTTATAGAATAGTTTAATATATTAAATATTACAATTGAAATCTTAGAGATCTTATTAGAGAATGTTAAAAGATTTATTTCTAAAATGTTATTAATTCATTAAATATAGTAGAAGTTTTATTTCTTTACTTTTTACATACCGAACAGATTTCACCATTTAATTCCCCCAAATCTTCTAATAATTCTTTGTCATGTAAATTCACCTCTTCGAAATCGGTTCCAGAAACTTTTTTACCTTTAACATAAATAGATTTAAGATTTCTTTCATCACCAAGAAACATAAACTTTTCAAAAATTCTTTCAAAATCATCAAAATCATCGAAAATATCCAAGGGAGATTTATTACAATTAGGATCGACTAACAAAGCATCAAATTCTTTACCAATTAGAAAGTTTCCGATTTTCTTGTCAAGGTTAACTAATTCAGCACCACCCATAGTAGCCAAGTAAGTTAATTCGGGTAAAGTAAGATGCGGAAAGGATTTGTCATTATCATTTGACGAATGAGACATAAATATAACACGACTTGCGATGCTTGCATTCCTCACAGCATTTAAAATAGATTTTGAATAACCGGCACTCAAATCGGTACCTAAACCAACCTTAATACCTTCATTTAACAATTGTCTAACATTACATAAACCCGAACAGATGGCAAAATTCGAATTAGGACAATGTGATATACCAACATCGCGTTCTTTAATCAACTTTCGCTCTTTTGATGACAAATGTATACCATGAGCCATGATCGTCTTTCCATTTAATAAACCATGATGATCATATACTGTTGTATAATCTGGCAAATTAGGAAATAATTTAGAAATAAATTCGATTTCATCTAAATTTTCCGATAAATGTGATTGAATTGGTATGTCATATTTTTTCGCCAACGATCCAATTGAACTCATTAGCTGTGATGTACAAGTAATGGCGAATCTTGGAGTAATGATTGGATAAACAAGTTTTGACTCGCCCTTTTCTTCTTCTAAATTTAGGACATAATTAATAAATTCTTCAGTAGATTTAACACTATCATCTAACGTTTCGACATAATCTTTGGGTGAATTACAATCCATATTAACTTTTCCAACAAATCCTCTCTGTCCATTTTCTTTAACTAATTTTGCTAAATATTTACTTGATTCGAGATGAGTAGTTGCAAAGTAAACAGCCGTTGTCGTTCCATTACGTAATAGACGACTTACCACGGTAGGGTACATTTTCTTGGCAAATGATAGAGAAGAATAAGATCTTTCAAGTGGAAAAGTATATCTTTTTAACCAATCGAGAAGCGGTAAATCCATACCGGTCCCTGCATTCGGATATTGTGGTGCATGTGTATGAGTATCAATGAATCCTGGCATGAGAAATTGCCACTTACTCAACCTAATAACCTCTTCTTCAGGAAATTTCCACTGAACAATAATCTCATTTAAAATTTTTTCTTCCAAAACATCTTTTTCTATGAAAGCTATCTTTCCAAAACAATCTATTCCCAACAAAGTATTTTGTAAAATTTCAAGACTTTTAAGGGATAAGGAATGAATTAACGTTCCATAAAAAACCTTGGAAATTTTGGTGGACATTTTTTTTTTTTTTTTAAAAAAAAAAAGGAAAAAGTAAAGAGGGTTTGGGATTTTTTTTTTTTTTTTTTTTTTTTTTTTTTTTTTTTGTAAATGAAGTTCCTTTTTTTATACATTTTTAAATCGGCTGCAGTGTTCGTCAATATAATAACGTGACCTTTATCGGCATCATGATATTGGCTGAACAAACGTAAAAAAAAGAACTGTTTCGAAATGGTGAAAAAAATTCGATTTTTAGATATTTTATTTTTGCCTTTATGAAAGATATTCAAAACCCGAAAATACCTCCATAAATAAATATATATATATATGCATGTTTTTTCACATGTACATGTACATCGTAAACAAACCTAAATTTAGTAATTTGTTTATTTGAATTAGGAAAGCAAATTATTGGATGATATATAAATATGAGAAAAAAAAAGATGCCTTGCCAGGAACGATTTTTAAGTGAAGGAAATGGCGAAAATAGAGTAGAGATAATGAGGAATGTGGATTTCTCTGAAACCCATTTCCCATTTCATCTTCAACCAAGCGTGTCAGGAATTCAAGAACGCAATATCAGAATTTACAACCTTAGAGAATTCTCGTCGTCCGATATTAAAAAAGAGATTATGCCAGCTACGTGAGCTCATAGTAAGATAGGAGGGAATTAATAATGGAACTTTTTGCCAACTTTTGATGGGTAAGAATGTAATCCCTCAAAATATTATTTTAATGCTTGATAGAATAAATAAAGATCGTGAAAGCTGCTGAATATACGGGACCTTTGCAATAGAAAAGGAGGGAAAAATAAAAAATGAGTTAATGCTAAAATCTGAACATATTTTGGCTTCAAAATCATATTTGGCATATAAAAGTAAAATTGATTTTTAAGGTCCATATGTTGATTTTGGAATATGTACATTAAGAACTTCATTACTCACTTATCCATGATTCGATTATTACTTTAAGCATCAGAAATATTACTCGTGAAAAAACTTGCTATTTGCAGTGGCTCAAGTCCAAGAATTTCTAAAGGAACATCCTAATGCTTTATTGATCAAGTTTATACATTCCTTGATTTAATCCAGAAAGATATACCAATGGTGTATCAGAAACAAGTATTTTTAAAAAAAATTGATGATACTTTACAAGAATCTTTCTCTGAAATAACATTACATCGTCGTTTTTTTAAAGTCTAAATTCCACAAGATTTTAGGTTGAAGATCCAAAAGATAAAAATTATTTTATTATTATTATTTTTTTTTTTTTTTAACAGGCTTTGGAACCAAGATTCTCAATTAATTGACCTGCGAATTTCGAAGTAAACAGCTATCACCCTTAAATCTGTTCGAAAATAGTATTAAATGGAATGATTCGAATCAATTTATCAAATTTGGATTTCGAATATCGAACATTCGAAAACATTTATAAATATTTGTCTGGGCAATTATGATTCTTTTTCGAATCTTCGAATTTCATTTGAATTTCAAACGGAAGCTCTTGTTGTGTGATTTATAATACTTAGGATTATATTAATTGATAATGTAAGCGCGACAATGTAACGTATACAAATGCGTGACAATATTCTTTCTAATTTTTTTTTTCTTTATTCTAAAGTCGGTACTTTAATGTATTATATTACATACATCAAAATATTTTCTAGCAAAATAACAAGAAAAACGAATGCAGGCAAAAAATTAGTAATACAAGCTAACTTTATAAATCGAATGATTTTAAATATCAGTACGACAAATATTCTAGAATTTAGAATAATTTGATTGGTGTTTGAATTGTTATGAATGGTGATCCTGCCCAAGGTTCATTTAACTTTGATCTTTTAATAGAGATAGATCATCAGGTACTGAAAAAAAAAGAAAAAGAAAAAAAAAATTAGAGAAATGTCAGAAATCGTACCTCTCGTTAGAATATCGCTCCCTTTTTTTTTTTTTTTTTTGAATTGAGGTGAATTCGTCATACTGATCGTCATAGGTATATAGCTTAAAAGTTTATGCTTTATCTGTTATGCATAATGCAATGCAAATGTACATTTTTTTTTGATTTCAAATGATAAAACAAAAAGAAAAAAAAGAATAAATGATAAACAAACCATTAAATTTGCATTCCTTATCGGTTCTATTTGTTTACATTCAATTTAAATTTTAAAAAGAAATTTACTCTTTTTTTTTTGTGTCAAAAAAAGAATTTTTATTGGAACTTTACTTTTTTTATTTTGAATTTGAAAAAAAAAAACACAGTTATCCAGATCTTTTTTTATTCCTCGGTATTCCTTAACAACCTCAAAATAATTCTATTCGTTTAAATAAAATGTTGCCAAGGAATCACATCATGAAGCGAGTAGGTTTGCTTGATGAAAACTCGTTACATTTCTGTTAGAAACAAAGGTAAGCTATTCTTTGGAAACATTATTTTCCCTCCAAATACTTTTAGATAAGAGGTATCTCGTCATATAAAGACTTTATCTTATCACCAACGCGGAAAATCTGTTGGGAAGAGAGATGTCGAGTTATTCTACTTCTGTTACATTATCGATATATAAGGATCCCCAGAATGATGGTGCGCATGGGATTTTAACTCGATTACCTTGGTTATGGTGACGTTATCGCGCGCACTTGACGGCAAATTATCGAACATCACTTTTGAAATTCGTCTCGGCAGTTAACAGAACAGGGATTACTTGGAATTTATGTAGTACACACGTGAACAAGGAGAGGTTTCACTCGTAACCCTATATAATATGTCACCCTCTCTGTTTTTCCATTTCAGTCTCTCTTTTTATAATTTTTGGAATTTTATATATTAAAATTTTGTGGGAATGAATAAAATACTTTCTTTATAATTATCACATAATAAATATCAAGACAAAAAAAAAAAAAAAAAAAAATATACAGGTTTAATTTTGCACAAAAGTTTTTTTTTTTCGATATCAAATATGCAAAATTCGGTAGGATGTGCAGGGAAAAAATGACAGATGAAAAAAAAAAATAATTTATTTTTTTGTCCCAAATGCAGAATTATTATCCGTTCTTTCTAAAAGATATTTGGTCACCCCCATGCGAGATAAAATAACGGACAATTATTGAATAATTTTTTTTCGTAATGAAAAAATAAAGTGTCATAATCCATCATAAATCGCGTGGTTTATGTCCAATGGATTATTTTTTTTTTTATTTTTTTACACTGTGCAATAATGACGTTTACATAAAAATAAATAACAAACATAAATTCATTTAAAATTTCTTTTTTTATTTATATTTTATCTTTATTTACGCCACCATAATTGATAAGGAGTGAAGATTTCACAGTTTCGTATTATATAATTAAACATTGTTTATCGTACGGGGCGTTTCTTTTGATAATGGGCATGCGTGAACTAAAACTAATAAAGCAGTTCCCTTCTTTGTTTTAATTTAACACATGAATATTTAGCAGGGACAAGGATTATTTTTTTAAAAAAAATTGACCATTGGGATTGTTTTGATTATCAAGAGTTCTGAACCATTTTCATAAAAGATCATTTTTTATGTAACTCCATTTGAAAATTCAATTTGTCCAGTTTTTGGGAAGACGACATATTAATTAAGGTGCTTATTAATTTTTCATTTAAGACATAAATGATGAATTAAAATTTTCGTTGTAATTAATGATTTTCAAATTACATTGTATTGTAAAATAAAATAAATAAGTAAAGTAAATAAAATGTATAAAATATATGCGGTTTATAAGAATAGAATAAAATAATAAAATATAGGAATAAAATATAAAATAAAATAAAATAAAAAGTTTAGAAATAAAATAAAATAAAAAAATTTTAGGAATAAAATAAAATAATATAAAATAAAAAAATAAAATAATAAAAATAAAAAAATCAAAATCATATTCCTTTTATGACTTGGGTAACCGGTCTATGTCTAACTGAACATAGGGTAAACTTTGGTAAAATGTATCCATTTTTCTATTATCATTCTCGGAAAATAAACCTAACAAGGGAGTAGAAGTAGAAAATACAAACCCTTGGTCAAGGTTAACGAACGATCGTGCGAATATTTTGGGTAATTTCTCAGGATGACAATCAAGTTATATCTGTCAGCAAGATCTGTATCACCTTGGACTTTTAGTAGAAATTTTGAACTTTGCATCGCATCAAACGAATCACATCATATTTATTGAACTTGAGGAATTATATTGGGTAGAAAATGAAACGTGTGTTTCAGATAAATTAAAAGCAATTTGTTTTGAATAAATATTTACTTCAACACCACTACTTTTTGAAAAATAAATTGGATCATCATTTTGATTTGCATTGAAACGGTGGTGTTTCATTAAATCGAGGAAATCGAGGGTGATGATTTGGATTCCGTTAATTTGACAGGAAAGATTAATTGTAAGATCACCTATTCAAAGAGCAAATACTAATTTAAAAATTGAATAAAGAAACAAAAAATGTATTCCTTATAATTTATTTATTTTATTATTAATTTTATCAAGTAAGATAGCAAAACTTTTCAGTGACTTATCATGTTCTCAAGATGCCCCCGTTTTGACATTATGGAAATGGAGATAATTTTTTTTTTTATTTTATTTTATTTTATTTTTTAGTGATGGTCACCTTATTATAGTAGAGTCGGGCTTGGCGTTTTAAAAGTATATTTAGTGTTACGCGGTAACTTCTCCCAAAGTACGATTACTCGGTGCCAAATAGGGTTTAATTAAACGGTAGTCTAAAAATGATAAAACGTAAAGGTCTCAAATCTTTTCTTTTTTCTTTTTTATTACCCAAAAAAAATAAAAAGCCACACGGAAATTCAGAGACCCTAATCTCTTTCTGAAGTCGGGATGCCAAGATTGAAGAATGCCGTATTACGAACAGCGGAAATCATCATCACGATTTTGCATATATTTAAAAAGTGGTCAACGAATGTAGCATACAATGAAATGTTGTGTAAACTTTGGCTAAACCTTTCACGTTTCCCTTCTGTACGCGAGGGGTGACTTCATGTAAATTGATTGATCAATGCTATTTTCGTTTCAACAATCTACCTTTAAAGCAACATTTTGTATTAATATAAATGATGTAAGTTTGAGTACATTGTGCTGATTTAACATAAATAATGATCGTCAAAGATCTCACCGATTAAGCAATTTAATCTATAGATAATAACGAAAATATAATGAATGTTTGAGTCGTGTAAAGTGTTCGATTCATTGGTTAACCGACGATCGCGCAATCAGCCATAATCAAAAATATGCAATCAGCCAAGATAATTCATTAGCCGATCGTTCTTTGTTTCAAGATTAGACAAATAAAAATAAAGATTACGGAAATTAATATAGTTGCAAATAATCCTATAAAAAAAATGAATTCTCATACAGGTTTTGTTTATTCCTCTTTTTTTTTTTTTTTATTTTTTTTTTTTTGGTTGGTCATTTAAATTTTCTTTCTATGCATATCGTTGATGCATTAAGTGAATGCCAAATAAAAATTTCATTTTACCCTTTGGTAAACTACAAATATTTTTATATATATAGTGTGTCAGTTGACAATAACCCTCATTCATGTCTTTGTGACACAACGTTGCACAAATTTCTTCACTTTTTGTATTTTAAACTTGAAAAATATCAAAAATATCGGATCAATTAACTAAAAAAAAAGAAGAAAAGATGTCTAATCCGTTTACCGACGACTGTCTTTATGAAATTTTGGAGTATTTAGAGGATGATAAGGTTGCTTTACATTCTTGCCTGCTGGTCAATCGACTCTGGTGTAGGGCTTCTGTAAAGATCTTATGGAGAAACGTTTGGAATTACCCTTTCGATCATCATAATCCGTATAAAGTGGAACTTTCAATTATCAACACCTTGGTTTCATGTCTTCCTGACGAATCAAAAGAATTGCTATATAAAAGTATCGGTATTGTCATACCTCCTTGGAAACCAATGATGAATTACGCTTCGTTTTGTAAAGATCTTCCGATTCATGAAATCGGTTCAATGGTTGAAAAGGTCCTCATCAATCGACCTATGCCTTCACAATCTTTTAAGTATAGTAAATATTTGGTAACCCAAGAGTTATTCAAAATGTTCATGAAACAAATTACATCATTAAGGTCTTTGGATTATAAGTTAGGATATATTACAAAAGTTCAGAATATCACGTTCACCTACTTTCCTGGGGCAAAGAATTGTTTAAAGGACCTTTCAGAATTTAAGTTTGACTCGAATATTTACTTTGAAGTTTTCTATCAGTTATCACAAATCTGTCATAACATAGAATTGATGTCGATCTCATTCAAGGAGACCATCTCCGACGGTCTGGCGGATTTAATCTCATCACAAAAAAATTTGAAACAATTAAAATTATTACAATCTTATCATGGGGTGGATTGGTCATCCATCATACCCTCAATGATAAACCTTTCTACCAGCTTGACCAAGTTGGCATTATATGGAGAGAATTATGTATCAATTTCATTCATTTCTGCTTTCAGAAATTTACAAGAAATTGTCTTTTCAATTGAATCGGAGGAATCTCTTGAAGATTTCAATGAGTTACAACATGTTCGATTTCCACACTTGCAAAGTTTAAAATTTAAGTATGAATGTCCGAAATTCGAATACCTGAATAAATTTTTAGAGATTAATGGGATGAATTTAAAAGAATTCCATGTAAATGATGAAAGTTACTCATTAAATTGTGCTATCGCAAAATTTTGTCCAAACCTTAAATCGCTCTTCACGATATTCATTGATAATGAAGTGGAAACTCTAACGTCGATTTTGAAAAATTGTCAACGATTAGAGTGTATTAAATTCTTGTGTGGCGAAGATTATCTAAGTGAAAAGCAGGTATTAGATACCATCGCAAAATACTCACCAAAAAGTTTTCATAAGTTAAAATTTTATAATGAGGAGGACTCGGAATTGCTTCCAGAAGATTTGGAGAATTTCCTTATGAATTGGGATAAACGTATACCCAAGAAATCACTTTCTTTAATTGTTATCAAAAGTTTCCGTGTAAATAGTTTAGAGAACAATGAAAAGAATATGAGAATAATTGAAAAATATAAGAAACTGGGTGTTATTGGGAATTTTAGATTTGAATAATTAATTCAATAGCTAATTGAACTACAATAAGACCAACCAATTGTATTATATTAGTTTATTTTATGATATATGTATATGATTTTTTACTATTAAGATATTAAATAAAAAAAAAAAAAGTTAAAAATCGTTATCGTTATGGTCTAAAATATAGTAAATCTTATGGTTTCGTAAATGCGTTACAGTCAATGTTTTCATTTTTTTTCATGAAAATCGCCGATGATTTAAATTTTTTCTAAACGAATTATTTTTTTGGGCCACCGTTCGAAAAATCGGTATATTTGAATCTCCGTTAAAGTAAATTTTTGAAATAATAAAAATTTTTTGATAAAATACGAATATGGTAACGAATGTCGAATATCCCAAACCAAATACGAATATGGTAAAGGAATTCGAATATGTCAACTGTACTTGTTGTGTGTCAATAAATAATAAATAATATATAATCGAGTTATAAATTTTTATATCCAAGGTTCAATTATCATTATATTTGAAATTACTTCAATCGGAAATCATAATTTTTGGGTTAGATCGATAATTTCAATCTTCGAATTTCGTGTTTGAATACTTGAGGATAAATATAACCTGAAAAATTCCGCGTGATTACGTTATCACAGTAAGTTTCGATGGTATCCGATGTGTAGATCATACAATACTAAGCATCATCTAATTATATATATACTTGCTAAATAAAAAAAATAAAAGAAGAAAAATATTTTTTCTCTCCTTGTTGATATTTACATTCCTTTATAATTAACATGATTTTACTAGATAATTGCGTAATGTGCTTCATAAAACAACAACTTAAGGATTTGATTAAGAGCGTTGTGGTATGGGTGTTTATTGATTAGCTATCTTTTTGCATCGTCACTCATATTTATGTTATCTGTTTTTACATTCGTGTAAACATTTCCATCTTGGAAAAAATTATGATGCCATACATTCAAAACTTTTTGTCGGAATTGTACAGGTTGGATGTCGAGATAGATCTCTCCCAGCAAGATAAATTTTAACAAAATTTACAAGGACAAAAGCACTGTCGCTGTATTCATATTCATTATTATGCATTAAATCCTTAAGTAGATTGATGATTTCAGTAATATAAAATCAATGGATATAAAAAAACTTGAGACATTCTGTTCTTGTAAATTTGTTCATAGATGACGCATTCATCATCGAGGAGGTCTATCAATTAATCAAGATGGCATCGACTACCGTCTGATCAATATTTTCCAACATACAACAACGAGTTCCATATGAACTGGAAATAAGAGAAAACTCTTTATGCTGGTTCCATTAGGTATGAGACTTTATTACCAAATACTTTTCGGTTTCGAGAAATCTTGGCACGTATATAATCTAACAAAAAACCGTCCAAGATTATTTCATGTAAATTGTTGATCACAAATTTTGGTTGTTTATACAGCATTGGTGTATAATGAGTATATTGACGATGTTACTTCGCTATCGTTACGCTGAAAATATGTCGGGAATAAAAATGGAATATAAAATTTTATAGAAAAGAAGGTCAATGACGAAGATAGAGAAACTGGATTTTTTTGCTTTATTAATTATTATACCTTGGCCGGGCGTTCTGCAATGTGAAAATTCTACAAAACCTTTTATTTATGGGAGGAGTCGTATTTATTTTTTATACCTTTTATTCAACCGAAAAAAAGAAGGGTGCCGTTATAGCTTTGAAATCCCGATATCCAATATAAAATTAAAATTCGTTACTGCGCCCATCGAATATATAAACTTTTGTATTGAGAAATCGATAACAATTTCTATTTTTTTTACATTATATTTATATGTTCTAAACTTAACATTGTCCCAAATCGCGTTATTTCAAATCGTAACTTGACACATTCAAAATTCGAGATATAATTTCAAATTGCAATTTGGGATATCCAAGATCATCGACTTTTGATAGGTTTAACAAAATATTTAATAAAAGACCCTTTTGTGCTGGCTGTATTTGCAAAAAAAAAGCATTACCTATTATGTCAGAATTTAAAATGATAATATGATTTGGAATAATGTTCCAAATCGCAATTTGGTATTTCTCAAGTTGCGATTTTAGATAATGTGTTAAAATCGTGATTTGGGACAAAGTTAAGTTTGTTTCAAATCGAAATGTGATTTGGAATATCGGAAGAACTATGATATAATGTTTGTATTCCCGCGTAGTTACTTGTATGTTATCATTCGGGTGTTCTTCCTTTATCATTAAGAACTGATCATATCGAACATTATCCATTTTTTTTTTTAAGATCTTTTTAGTTGATTAGGTAGAGTAAGTTATTAGTTTATAAAATGTATAAATATGACAACGAATGGTTATTACCCTATACGTAAACATACTTATTTCTCCATCACAAAAATGGGTTCTGAGAAATATTTGAATATTATTGTATTTTAATCTAATAAAATCGAACCTGATTTCCTACATATTGATTCCGTTGAGACCTATAATATTTTGCTGAGCATTCCATCTAAAGATTTGCATTCTCGATAACATATCTACGTTTGTTTCTTTCCAGCGCGATGCATACTTTGGAATTCTTATTCATAACAGCGGCCATTCTTCCTGTATGTATAGCAGATAAATAGATAGCATATTGTTGAAAATGATCTGTGGAATTCTTTCCATATAAATAATGAATAAAATATTAAATCGTCTCTACGATAGCTCTTCTTGACATACGACGAATTCACGACCACGATTTTATTATCAATTTGAACCAGAAGCAACCGTAGCAACCGTATACACTAGTTGAAAATCCGAATATGATAAAATGGAAAAGTTAATAAGACATTTCTTTAAAAGGTTGTTGTGCAGTTCTAATCGGAGGGATTATGAGAAATTACTTACCTTCTCAAGCTTTGACGGACGAGTTAAAATTCTTTTAGAAGAAATTTTATATTCAAGGAAGTAAAGTTCTTTAGAACAGAGAAACTTAAGCTTCAAACACAGCAGCTCGTATCTTTTTTAACAAGGTGATGATGTTCATCAAAATTTTCCAAAACCGAATCCATAAGCGCGGAAGGATTACAAAGGGCGACGGATATAACTTTAAATTGATAAGTTACGAATGTTGCTTTATCTAAAGACTATAAATTAGCTCGCGAGCAATTAAAATATTTAAATCTTGTTTAATTTCACCTGTTTATAGTTCATACTAATTGTATTAATTTATCGAAGAATCGGACATCTGCCTATGAATTTTTTATTTTATTCAAAAAAATTTTACCGCTTATTTTTAGATAACAGTGATGAGCGGAAATTCGCCTGCCTAAAGAGAAAGGTAATTTTTTTTTTAATTTTTTAAAAAATAAAAAACTAACCGGGATTTGCTTTCGAGGCATTTTTCATGATGGAATCACTTCGAATAGGCTTTTAGTCTTTATCACATTCCAGAGAGTTCATTTCAATGTGCCAATACCTGAAAAAATCTCGCAAGTAAAATTGACAAGTTCCATCCGGGAGAGCTTACCTAAGGTCCTGTTGAAGCAACTAGGCAATTTCGTTAACAATATTTGAATTATAGGTTACACGATAAATCATTTATGAATGGGTATATGATGTCGTTACATCGGAAGCAAACAAATCTTTTGTACTACCCTTTAAAATTTTTAAATTGAGAAGGTTTAGGCATGCATTGAAAGCATGTAATCTCCACAGTAAAAGCAATTAAGGCGATTCTTTTTCCATTGCCATTCTCTTAAGTATCAATCGAACAGATGGAGAATGAGCAGGAATCTGAAATTTTTTTTTAAAATTTTGTGATTTACGAGTTTTTTGAAATAGTAGTGGCGGAATTGATCTTCAAAAATCGTCATCTTCATCATCTTAGGAAATGATTCTACCTTTCCGGTGTTGGGATATGGTAATAAGGTCTTAATTTAGTCAAAAAAGTTCTCGGTGCCTGATTTTCCAAGCAAACTTCCATACATAGATATATTAGATATTTACTTTTAAGTTTTATATAGTAATAAATTTTACATATTAATTAATAAAATTTTCAACCTTTTTATTATTTTAATTTGATAAATTATGATTGAATATTTAATTAATACATTAAATTAAATAAAATAAATATAAATATTTTAATACTTAAATTAATTAATTATAATTAAATTAATAAAATTATTTATTATTACTAGATTAACAGTTAAAATTTAACAAATTAATAAAAATTAAATTATTTATTTTTCTAATAAAATATTTTTAAAAATATAATATTACAATTTATTTTATTATATTTAATAGATAAATTAATTAATTATATAGTTAATAAAATAAGTTAGACAAATATCTAATTAAAATCTTTAATTAACTAATATTAATTGCTATATAATTATTATTGATTATAATTAGAAATATTAATATTAATACTTTTACTTAAATAATTATATTTAAGCATGATATATATATTTTTATTTTATAACAAATGTATTTATTAATTAGGTAATATGTACTATTAGAATATTCAAAACATCTTAAAATTCATAAAAAAATATAGCTAAAAAAAAAATATATATATATATTACTAAAATTAAATTAAAAAGTAATTTATTTTAAAAAAAATAATAAATAAAATTTTGCTTAATATGGATTTTTATAAAAATAATTAATATATATTTCTCTATTTTAATTATATATATAACTATTTTTAAAATAAAAAATTAATTTTCTGAAATTATTTTATCATCTACTTAAATAAATAAGAATAATATTTAATGATATATATTTTTTAATCTGAAGTTATAACTATTTTTTTAACATAGTTTTTTTATAAAATATGTCTAGTAAATATATTAAAAGATTTATAACTGCTTGATAACTTCTTCTTAAAGCATACAATTAATTCTTCTATTATTTTTTAAGTTTTAGAAAAAGTGCCTTAGTTTTTCAAAAAAAGAATCAAAAACTATAGTAAATAATATTATAGTACTTCATTAAATATCTTTTCAAATAATATATCTGCACTGAATAAGTT